CCCTCCTTCCCCTCCTCCTCTCCCTCTCTCCCTCCAACCCCCCCTTTTTTTTTTCATTTTTAAAAATTCTAAATCCAGAACCTTTCCCTCGAATCTCCATTTCACAATAAAAGCTTTTTCCAAAAGCTTGTAATGAATTCTCACTTCACTTTCAAATGTCTGGGCTTCCTTCTGAACTTCCTCTGTTCTGTGCGGTTGTTAAATGTTACAGCGGCCTACATTTTGGGAGGAATTACTGTTCTTAACTCCCATGCCTTCTCCATGGGGGAGAGAGTGAGACAAGTGAGACGGTGACACGAGAAGCATTAATTAGGCACCTACTGCGTACCAGGCACTGTACTAAGCCCAGGGGTTACACATTTAACCAGGACTAAATCGGCCCTCACTGCCCGAAGGCCAGTTGTATTACATTTCACCTGCTTTCCTCAGGGTTTTATGATATCCTTAAAGGGGTTTTGGGAGGGTCTAAATCCCTCTGCCACTGGCTTCAGTCCACACAAATGGTGTTCCCTCAATTTTAGGGGTCCTCTGTGCTTCAGTTCCATTTAATGACTTAATGGTGGGAATAACTTTTATAAAGGAATATTTATTTTAAAGGTATAGTAAGAATAAATATACAAACTTTCCTACCTCACCCCCAACACATGAAAGGTATACTCCCCCCATACCACCTCAGCCATGGAGCGATGAAGGAAGGGTATTAGGTCTGCAGTCTAGCTCAGTTCCTAAATATCACAGAACCCCCAATTTCCAAGTCAAAAGCCCACATTGGGCTCCAGTCCCAGACACCCTCCCCTGGCATCTTAGGGCTTTCCTGATAGGCTGACTGGTAGGAGGTCACCGTATCTGGACTCTGGGAAGACGAGATTCCATCTGTACCTAGTACTGAAAAGTACAAATGAACCAGCCAGAAAACAAAACCCAAAGCCCATTTCCCAGGGCCACAGGGTGAAAAGCAGAAAGAACAGGGAATGTAACCCCTCTTCCCACTCAGTTCATGGACCTCGTGATATAGGTGAACAGGATCTCCACCCCTTTCTGGATTCATATGAAAAAGAGAGACTTTCCCAGTAGTTTTAAAGACTCAGTCTGTTCTGGCTACACAGCCAATCTATCCACGTGATAGGGGAACACAGAATGCCTTCTCCCAGAAGTTGGTCCCTGGCCTCTGCCATATGGGAGCCTCCTTCCTAGGTGATACTGGCATTAAAAAAGCCTGGTTCCACAAAGATAGTCAAAAACAGTCTCTGCCCTCCAGCTCACATTCTAATGGAGGAGATAACATGCAGGCAACTATGTACAATCCAGGTACAGACAGGAAATAACCAATAGAAGGAAGACCTAGGTAGCATTAAGCAAAACTAATTCAAATAGTGGCCAGGTCCCCAAAACACGTTTCTTTCTGCACCTTGTGAATATCACCGCTTTGACGTCCTTCAAGGCTCAGCCAAAGGCCAATCTTCTACAAGAATCGTTTCCCAGTCCTCCTAAATCTTAGTTCTTTCCCTCTGAGATTATCTCCAATTTATCTTGTCTATATCTTGTTTGGGCATAATTATTTGCTTGTTGTCTGTCCCTCCAGTAGACTGTGAGCTCCTTTAGAGCAAGCACTATTTTTGCCTTTCTTTGTATCCCCAGCACTTAACACAGTGCCTGGCATATAGAAGGTGCTTAATAAATACTAGCAGACCAACTGGCAGTGGAGAACATGCTTCATCATAGGTCCTCGGTAGACGTGGTTGGTCATTGCATTGATCAGAGTTGATAAGCATTCCGTTATTTTCTTAACAATATTCTTGTCCTTGCATAAATTATTCTCCTGGTTCTGCTCATTTCACTCTGTATCAGTTCACATGGTTCTCTAAAGTCACTTCTGACAGTGCATTATTCCATTACATTCATACGCCCCACTTTGTTCAGTCATTCCCTAATTGGCTAATAGGCAATCAAAGACACTCCTTCAGATTCTAGGTCTTTGGTTTTCTTCCCTCACTCCCCTTTTAATCCTTCTTTTGAGTTTTTGGGGTGGGCATTCAGGGAGGACTAGCACTTCTGTTATGAGGGCTGCTGAGTCCCTTTCAGGACTGCTCATCTACCTTTGCTGTCCACCTGGCACTCAACTCTCACCTGTGGCTCCAAGAAGCTGTTGCATGTGCAGCAGACACACCCTGATAAACTATCTGGGCAGATGGGCTAAACCAGGTTGAGGGTACCAACGGGCCTCAAACCCATTGGTGAATTAGGGAGATGTCTACTCCACCCACGTGAAAACTTCCCCCGGTGCAACCGGTAGAAGAGAATAATTTGTTCCGACGGCCACGAAGGTGGCCGAAGCAGGCATTGTAGAGTGCTTAGAGCTTGGTCAGGCATCAGAGATGCCAAGGTCATCCACTACATCCTGGGCCATCACCAGTCTTCTTAACTTTTGATCTGCCACTGGTCTTCAATGACTCTGGAAGAGAGAGTGAGGCTGACAACTTTGTGTAACTCTGACTCTTAAATCCAACTCACTCAAGAGTCAAGACCTCATTTAGAATATTGAAGGCATCCCTTAAGGATTTCAAGACGTGGACGGAGGAGGGGAAAGCACTCCAGGCGGATGCATGTCCCTTTGTTTCAGTGGCACTGGACTCCTTCTTTAAGAACAGAGTGAGTGCAGAACCACGGAGATGGGAAGAGGGTCATGTGTAAGGAATAGGCACGGAGCGTATGGAATGTAAAGTAAAGGTAGAAAGGAACCAGACTGTGTAGAGCCTTCAATGCCAAAGAGAGTTTACTGTTGATTCTAGAGGTGAGAGGGAGAACTGTAGTTTATTGAAAGGGGTGATGGTGAGATCTAAACTTTAGGAAAATCAGTTTGGCAGCTGAGTGGAGCATAGATTAGAGTCAGGAAAGACATGGAGACCAGTTAGAAGGCTATTGCAATAGTCAGGTGAGAGGGAATGAGGATCAATGTGCACAGAGAAAAGGGGATGTATATAAGAGGCAAGGAACTGGATATGGGGGGTAAGTGAAAGTGAGAAATCAGGGATGACACCTAGGTCATGACCCTGATTGACTGGGAAGATGGTAGTGCCTTCTCTAGTACCGGGAAAGCTCAGAAGAAAGGTTTGGGGAAAAGGTGATTTTTGTTGTCCCATTCCTACCTGTCTAGTCTTAAACCTTACCCCGCCTGCCAACACACACACACACACGCACACACATGCATACATGCATACATGTCTCTTTGATCCAATGGCCCTGGACTCCTCCATTAAGAACTTCCATCCAATAAAGCCTTTTTCAAATAAGACACTCCATCTCCAGACTCCAGGTATGTTCACTGGCCACCCCTCAGTCTAGAAGACCTTCTCTCCTCATCATCCCCACTCCTGGCTCACAGACTACCCTCAAATTGTAGCTAAAGTACAAGTCTCAGTTGACCCGTTCATTCCTGAGGTTAGTGCCACTCAGAGTACAACAGTCCAATTAGTTTCAATTAGCACAATTAGACTAAAGGTCAATGCATACTGACAATGCACATTCTAGGCCACAGTGAGACCAGCTGGCCCTCGATTCTCTCCAAGCAGCAGTGCCGAGGGGAAAATGTGACTCAGAAGGCGAAACCCTCATCTACTTTTGGGGTCTTCCATCTATAGACATTTATAGGTGAGGAAGGAGGCAGAACATGGTGGCTTTTGGGGTTCCCTCAAGCTCTAGACTTGTGATCAAGAACAGACATCAGTTCCAATGTTATGCTCAACGTTAGGGATGAAAAGCATCCTTCACAGTCCCGGAGTCAGATTTACATATTAGAGAACAGGGGAGCAAGAGGGCGCCGTAGTGCGCACAGCACCGGGCCTGGAATCAAGAAGACTCATCTTCATGAGTTCAAATCTGCCCTCGGACACTTCCTAGCTGTGTGACCTTGGGCAAGTCACTTTACTGTGTTTGCCTCAGTTTCCTTATCTGTAAAACGAGCTGGAGAAAGAAACGGCAAACCACTCCAGTATCTTTGCCAAGAAAAGCCCAAATGGGGTCACGAAGAGTCAGACAAGACCCAACAACAACAACAAAATAATAATAGCTTTATGAAGTGCTTTAAAGTTTGCAAAGCACTTTACAAATATCTCATTTGCTCCTCATAATAACAGGAGGTAGGGGCTATTATTATCCCCATTTCTCTGAGGAAATTGAGGCAGACAAAGGTGAAATGACTTACCCAGGGTCACATAGCTAGTGTCTAAAGATGGATCTGAACTCAGTTCTTCCTGACTCCAAGTTTGGTACTTTATTCCCTTTGCTTCCCCAGAATTAAGTTTATAGTTCTGACATTCAGAACACAGAAAGTCAGAGCTGGGAGGGGCCTGAGAACAGGGGATGTCAGGGCTGGGAGGGGCCTGAGCACAGGGGATGTCAG